CCCAGGTTCCTTTTTCCTTTGATTGCTGTCACTCACTTGATAGAACGTGGCCACGTTTGAAAGCGTTCATTTGTTTTTCCAACCTTCATGTTATATTCTCCTCTTCCAAGATGGTTTCAATTCATCTGGCTCCTCACTGTTTTAAGTAAATTTTATAATCAGCTTGCCTGTGTTTACAAAAATCCTGCTAGTATTTTAATTGAATTTGTGTTAAATCTTTAACTAAATTTCAAGAGAATTGATACTTTGTTAAGTAGAGTCTTCTAATCTGGGAATTTCACTTCCAAGAAAGTCATCTCCATTGCTTGTGGAGTGTTGCAAGGAGGGCTTGCTTGTTCGTCCAGGCTGCCTGGCTCGCTTAGCCCCAAAATAACCACACAGAAACTTTATTAATTAAATCACTGCTTGGCCCATTAGCTCTAACTTCTTATTGGCTAACTCTTACATTTTAGTTTAACCCATTTCTATTAATCTGTGTACCACCATATGTCAGTGGCTAAGTTTTGGCAGCATGTCTTACTCTGGCGGTGGTTCCATGGTGACTCCCTGACTCTGCTTTCTTCTTCCCAGAATTCAGTTTCCTCTTCTCCGCCTACCTAAGTTCTGCCCTATCATACCAGGGCAGTTTTTAAATTCATTAACCAATGAAAGCTGCTCATGCTCAGAAGGACCTCCTACACCATTTCCCCTTTTTTGTTTAAACAATAAAGGAAGGCTTTATCATTGTAAAATTACATATAACAAAACAGTTATCAAGCAAGAATTTCCATTATAATATTTATATCTACTTTATCTTTTATTATAACTAAGGAAAACTATAACTATAAATTTTTTAACTCCATCAAAGACTTCAGAAGGATATTATATTATCTAAATAAATAGGAAGTATACAACTTTTAAAACTCTAGAATTGACAAGAGATATCTCGCTGCCTGTATAGTCACCCAATGTTCTTCTGTACCATTGGGTCAGCTATCTTCAGCCTACAGGCCCATAGAATGCAGCAGACTTTTCCATGAAGCAGGACATTTTAAAGACAGTTCCGCCTATATTGGCAGTTTGCCAGTCACTGTATCCTGCAGATATCTTGCAGACTCTTTCATAAAGCAGGAACCCTGAATCATCTCACCTTTAGTCAAGTTCAGCAGTCATTTCTCTGTGTGTTTTGTATGTCCATTTTTTACAGCATGCCATGAAGCAGTGGTTCATGGGCAGCTGGGACGAACAAGCAGCCTCTCCTTGCAACAGTGGAGGTGTCACCAATGCTTTGTATTTTTAAGTACACAGTTGTGTGTCTTATTAGGCTAATACCAAAGGCTTTCATTTTTGGAGCTATTGGAGCTGCTGCTTAAAATGTTCAGTTTATGGTCATTTGTTCCAACTCTTTTGAAATATAATGGGTATTTGCATGCTGACCTTGCCATAATTACTTTTATGTACTAGAAAGTTTTTGTAGATTCTTTTAGCTCTCTTTTCTATCTAATGTGAGTACCTTAAATTTTATGTATTCATGAGTGTGTGTGCACACTTGTGCACGTTATTACACTCCTCAGGACTTTAAATGTAGTGTTGAAGAGCAATTCCTGAAGTTACGGTAATAGCATAAGGTTTTTCTCCTTTGGAAACACACACTCGCAAGATATTTATTATGTGCATGATACACACACTTTGCAGTTACTGTTAGCATGTTAATGAAGTTTCTAATTCCTGCTTGGCCGAGTCCATCCTGTGTCCCAAATGGCAAATGCTTTTGGTTTGGTAAAATACTTTTACTGCATGTGCTGATATGATGATTTTTTTTTAACTGTTTGCTTTGTTAGTGTGGCACCTCATGTGGACTGACCGAGGAGCAGTGAATTACCCTTGCATTGCTGGGGTCAAACTAATGATGTAGCAATCTGGTTATTCAGTTTCCAGTTTCTGCTAAAGGTTTTATGTTTGTGCTCACCAGGGATTTAGTTTGCAGTTTTCCTATAATGTTTCTTTCTCCTTTTGTAGAGTAGGTTATTCTTATCAAGCCAGCTGCGGAAGACCCACAACTTGCCGTTTCTGTAAGAAGTTGAAAAGAATGGCCATTGCTGACATTGCTTTTCATTTAAGTATTTGATAGGAATTGTTACTGAAAACATCAACTTGATATTTTTTCCTTCCTTCCTTCCTTCCTTCCTTCCTACCTTCCTTCCTTCCTTCCTTCCTCCTTTCCTTCCTCTTTTGAGGCAAGATGTCATAAAGCCCAAGGCTGTCCTAGAACCCACTATGTACTCAAGACACTCCTAGTCTTCCTGCCTCTGCCTTCTGAGGGTTGCATTAAGTCCTGTACCTCCATATCTGATTTACATGGTTTTGGGGATGGGACCCAGGGCTTCAAACATGCTAGGCAATTATTCTACCAACCGACTTACATCCTCAGCCCCTAAAAGACATCAGTTTTGAAGATAGGTACATCACTGTTTAGGTTGTGTTTTCCTCTGGTGAGTTTGTTGTGTTTGCTATCTGATGTCTGGACAGAGAATTGTTCATGTTAGTGTTTTAATCATTGTGGAATCTGTATTGATTTGTCCTAGTTCAACTCCCCCCTTTTTTTGGGTATTCAACTAGGGATGAAACTTGGGGGCTCATACATGTTTTTGTGATTTATTTCCTCTCTGATACTATTATTAGAGATTTGTTAGTTTTGGTGGAAATTTGAAAAAAACTAGATTTTAAACTCAAGTTTTATTGTTGTTCCTCCATCCCATTTTAATATTTAACACAATTGGTTTAATAAAATACTGATTGGCCAGTAGCCAGTTGGGAAGTATAGGCAGGGCAACAAGCATAGAATCCTGGGAAGGGGAAATGCTCAGTCTGTAGTCGTCACCTAGATACAGAGGAATCAAGATGAGAATGCCTCACTGATAAAGGGTACCAAGCTACATGGCTACATGACTAACACAGACAAGAATTATGGATTAATTTAAGATGTAAGAGTTAGTTAATAAGAATCTTGAGTTAATAGGCCAACCAGTTTATAATTAAAATAATAATATTAACAATATTTAACATAATTTCTTTATTGAATCAGTGGGAGTTTCATATTATGCTCCCCAGTTCCACTCACCTCCCATTTTCTCCATAACTCCCCTCTCCTTGTAATAGTCTCTAAACGAAAATTTAAAAAAAAAAAAGAAAAATCAAACAAAAACAGGAAAACGAAGAGAAACAAAAAGAAAAAAAACAAAACAACAAAATAAAACAGCAAAGTTTCTCTTTGCTCCTTCATCTTTCTGCCTTTCAATACCTCTTCATTTGTCCTGGTAGTATTGGGAGTTATGGTATGTGAGACAGTATACACTTTTGTTCAATCAACTTTCCTTGCAAATATTCATTGTAATGAGTCACTGGTCTGGTTCAAGGCCTCTGGTTTCTGGTTCACAATTGATGTGGAAGTGTCATATATCCGTTGCTTTCATTGGTTAATTAATAAAGAAACTGCTTGGCCTGATAGGTTAGAACATAGGTGGGTGAAGTAAACAGAACAGAATGCTGGGAGGAAGAGGAAGTGAGCTCAGATACCATGCCGCTCCTCTCCAGGGCAGACGCGATGAAGCCAGCCTCCAGGTCAGACATGCTGAATTTTTCCCGGTAAGACTGGTGCTACACACATTAAGAGAAATGGGTTAACCTAGATGTGAGAATTAGCCAGTAAGAGGCTAGAGCTAATGGGCAGGCAGTGTTTAAATGAATAAAATTTGTGTGTTGTTATTTCGGGGCATAAGCTAGCCAGGCAGCCAGGAGACGGACGGCAGGAACGCAGCCCTCAGCTCCTTCTACACACAATCTACTGGATCCTTACTGGAACTGCTCCTGGATATTGTGTGGCCACCCCAAGTCATGGAGATTCTGCAGTTATTGTTCCACAGGACCAGTCCCTTTAAGAGCTCCAGCAGGTCCTAGATGAGGTGGGCAACTTAAGGTCCAGCTGTGGGCCTGGGTAGTAGTTGAGCTGATCAGTTCAGGCCACTGAGGCTACCCTCTCCAGGCAAGGAGCTGAGCCAGCTCCTCTATGCCCACAATGGGGATGACAGGGATAATGACAGCTCTCTTGCTGCAGTGTCCAGCAAGGGGCAGGACCAGTTATTCCAGGGCCAACATAGGGCAGGGCTGGCTCAGCATGGCCTTCTGATTCCGTCACCCATAGTTTATATGTCCCCTGAAGTGACACAGGCCACAGATAGAAACATAGACCCCAGTTGCACTAGGACCATGGACCCAGACATGACCCTCAGCAGCAGCTTGGGCCCAGATGACTTCCTGTCTCTGGGTGGAAGCACAGGCTACTCACATCAGGATGACACTGGTGGCCTTACAACCCCCAGACACCAAGAGGGCCACAGGTTGTATCCCTGGCCCTGGGGATTCTGTGTAACTTTTGGTAGCAGCACAGACCCTGGCTTTGATGGGACCATGGACCCAGACATAGTCCTCAGCAGCAGCTAAGTCTGGATGTTACTATTTACCCAACTCGCAGTACTGGCCACTTAGATCAGCACAGCCCCCATGTCAGTGTGGTCCTCAGACACTGACATGGCCCCAGATCTGGGGCATCTACATGGCCTTCAATGGTAACAGTAAACTCAGACAAATAGATGCTGGTTGTGCTAGGGCCACAGTCCCACACATGACTCTCAGCTGTAAATCTGACCCAGATGTCACCATGGCATTGGGTTCAGGCCACTCATATCTCCATGGCCCCAGCTGTAGCATGTCCTTTGGCCACCAATATGGACTCGGGTGACTGACTTGATCCTGGGCATCCACATGGTCTTTGGTGTCAACTTAGGCCACAGACTTCAACAAGATTCCAACTTAGTAGGACCACAGACCCAGACATGGTCTTTGGTAGCAACCCAGGACCAGATGTCACCATGGCCCCAGGTGGTGGTATAGGCCACCCAGACCAGCGTGGCCCTTGGACATGAACATGGCTTCAGATGGCAGCCCCAAACGTAGGAATCCGCATGGCCTTCATGGCAACAGGAGCCACAGACATTAACACACACCCTGGCTGCTGCAATAGGGCCACAGACTCAGATGTGGCCATCGGCAGCAGCCTGGGCCCTGATGACCCTATGGCCCCGAGTAGTAGCACAGGCCACTCAGGTCATTATATACTGCCCTGGCTACAGTATGTCCCCTGGACTCCAGCACTCCACAGGTTGCATTGCAGACCCCAGACCAATGAGTGGTCCCTACTGGCCACATGGACCATGGTCTTGTGTAGCAGCCTGTGTCTGTATGTCACCGTGGCCCCAGGTGGCAGCACAGGCCACACTGGTGAGTTTGGCTCCAGCATTAGCATGGCCCTCAGACACCAACATGGTCCCAGATTGCGGCCCAGACCCTGGGAATCCAAATGGCTCTCATGGCAACAAACCACCACTATCAACACAGACCCTAGCTGCAGTAGGGCCTTGGATTTTTTCCCCTTTCTACTTCACCAGTTTCTAGTTTTATATTTATTTTGTCCTTAATTTTGTTTTCCTTAGGTTAATTTTGCTTATTTTCCTGCTTCTGAGCTAGAGGCCTCAATTGTTGACTTGAGATCTTTCTTTCCTAAAGCATTTGGCTTAGAGATTTCCTCCTCAGCATTGCTGTCACTGTGTCCAGCTATTTTTAATACATCATATTTTTGTTTTTGTTTAATTCATAGTGTCTTCTAATTTTCTCCATTACTACTTCTTTGATCCATGCATGCCTGGCCAGAAGTGTGTTGGTTAAGTATTTTTTTTTTACTGTTTTTTTTTTTTTTTTTTTAGTTTCTGACTTTTGGTATAATGGCATTTTGGTCAGAGACCATAGTTTGGCTTTGGTGTTTTTAAGTATGTTAAGGTTTGTTTTGTGACCTAGAATATCTTGGCAATGTCCCTGCTGACTTGAGTGCACCGTTAGTGTCTCCTGAATGTAAATAAGTTAGACCTGCTGGTTCATAGTATTGTTTAAAATTCGTATGCATTCTTTCTGACTTTTGTGGATTAATGAGATAGGCATGTTGATATCTCCAACAGTAACAGTTCATGAATCTGACACTGAAGTCCTGGACTTCTGCACACTGGGATCTTTGCTTTTCATCATCATGTCACATCCCTCTTGTTCTTGACTGAATCTTTGTTTTGATGTTATCATAGCTCTCTTGTAGTTAGGGCTCACACACTGTATTTTTTTCTATTCATTTGAAAATATTTTTAACTTTTATTTTTATTTTATGTGCATGGGTGCTTGTATGTCTGTATACCATGTGCATTCAGTGTCTTCAGAGGCCAGAAAAAGGGGATCCCCTGGGACTGGAATTACAGATTATTTTGAGCCACCATGTGGGTGCTGAGCATCAAACCTGGGTTCTCTAGATGAACAACCAGTGCTCTTATTCACTGAATTGTCTCTCCAACCCTCTTTGTTTATTTTTTAACTTACTTCTATTCTTAGGTATATAGAATAAATTTCTTTTTTTAAACAATCTTTATTTTACATACCAATCCCAGTTTTCCCTTCCTCTCCTCCTCATGTTCTCCCATAAATTCTTGTATATAAGACACAATTTGTTTTTTAAATATTACATTTATTTTGTGTTTGTGTGTGTGTGTATGTGTGTGTATACACGTGTGTGCTACAAGCATTAGTGTGAAGTTCTGAGGACAACTTGTAGGAGTTGTTTTATTCTTTTACCATGTGGGTCCTAGGGTTAGAGATCAGGTTGTCCTGACTTGTTAGCTGTCTTATCAGCCTCATAATTGGGTTTAAAATCTGTTCTAACAGCCTCTGTATTTTAACTGGGGTGTTTATTTCATCATTTAATGTGCATCAATGTATTTTGACTTAATTTTTTTGACATAAAATTGTAAAAATTTTTCTAATTCTTTATTTTCTTTTCAAATCTCTTTTACAGTTGCTGTGGGACAATGGTTTATACCCTGTTAATTGTATTTTACTAAAATACTGATTGGCCAGTAGTCAGGCAGGAAGTATAGGCGGGGAAACCAGGCAGGAAGTAGAGGCAGGGTGACAAGAACAGGAGAATTCTGGGAAGAGGAAAGTTTAGTCGGCAGTCCTGACCTAGCCACAGAGGAAGTAAGATGTGACTGCCTCGCTGAATAAGATACCAAGCCATGTGGCTAGCATAGACAAAAATAATGGGCTAATATAAGTTATAAGAGTTAATAGGAATCCTGAGTTAAAGGGCCAATCAGTTTATGACTAATATAGACCTCTGTGTGATATTCTTTGGGACTTAATGATTGCGGGACCCTGGCAGGACAGAAACTCCGACAACATACAGTATTTGAATACTTTTCATACTTCAATTAAATATATTTGATTAAATTTTAAATAGATCTTTGTGTAGTTTATCTTCTAATCCTTAAGGCATTTTAGTGGTTGCTTTGGGATGACTTGTCTCTCCCCTCCTCCATCTCTTCTTCCCTTTCTCCCTCCCTCCCTCCCTTGCCCTTTATGTCTCCTCACTCCTCTTTCCATTTCACCATAAGTAAGATGTGGAAAATGTGACTATTGCCTTCTCCCAAATTAATTATATTAACACACTTTCACACTTCTATCTAGACTGTTTGGTTTACTTCAGCAGTCACATGTATTTTAAAGAGTTTGCGGGCTTTTCATTTGAATAGTTTCTGTAACTGAATGTGCAGATATTAACAATTTACATTCCTTTTCCTTCCACTTCCAGGGCTCTACACTTCATTTGGTATCATTTCCTTTCAATCTGAAGAACTTCCTTTGTCATTTCCTTTAGAGCAGGTCTGTTGCTGATGAGTCTTCATTTTCTTGCATTTGAGAGTTCCTTGTTTTATAACCTTCATTCCTCAGTGTTGTTCCTGGATGGAAAGTTTTGCATGACAGTTTCCTTCAACCTGTAATGCTTCCCATGCCCTGGCCTCTCTAGTTGTGATGGAGAAATCTGCTGCCTTTTTACCCCCCTACCCTGACCTTTGCATGTAATATGCTAAATTTCTCAGGCTGTCAATCATTGTTTTTGTCTTTAGTGTGCACCATTGTCTAGGTGTGAGGGAGGTCCTAAGCCATTTTCCAAATAGAATGCTTTAAATTATTTCTTTGGGTATTCTTTTCCCTGAAACGTCTTTTTTCTCTTATTTCTTTTAATATTTCAAAAACTATTTCAGAAACTCTGATAAACATTAGAATTTTATCTAATGTTTTATCTCAGAATTTTATTTAGAATTTTATCTCAGCATTCATATTAATGATTTTCAAGGGGATTTTTTTGGCCTCTTTTCTGTTGGAGTTTTATTGATTTGAATTTGGGCTTGTTTTGTTTTGGGTCTACTCCAAATAGCTAATCTACTGGCTAGTCAAATGGCAATGCTGCTTTCCAATTTACAATTTCTATTTGGTTCTCTTTTTAACATCTGTTTGTGTGCTGTTCATTTTCTGATGAATTCATTTCAAGACATACAGCTTTACATTCTTTTGTGGAAGTGGTTTGAGACAGTGTCACTATGTTGCCCAGGCTGTCCAACCTTACTATCCTCCATCATCCACCTCCTGAATAATTACAAGAATGTACTACCATGTCTGGCCCAGGTTTCACATATTTACATAGTCAGATATGTTTACTTTCTTCTCACAGAAACGCATGAGATTGATTTTATTATTCTTATATTAGAGATAAAGAAATAGAGGCTGGGTCTGACTGGAATGTTGTACTTTTTCATCGTCTCTCCTTTTCCCATTTTACTGTCTCCTCTTTTATGCAATCAGTAGTCTGTCCTGTATAATATATGTCATAATGTTTCTGTTTAACAATACATCTTGCATATAACATCATTTAAGTACACGAACTGTTCATTCTCTGTTACATCTTTGTAATACTCCACTGAGTGGACATACCATGATTTACTTAATCATAGACTGTTGGCTTAAGTAATTTAAATTATCCACCTATTATTTGATTTTTAAGAACTCTTTAAAGTTCTTTAAGATACATGCATTTAAAACCCTTTAAGACTACATAAGATACATGCTACACATGTGTGAATAGTTCAGTGAATTAACAAAAACTAAATGCCACAGGCAGTCATTATCAATGAATGATAAGAAAGAGTGTTTTTACCACCCCAAAGGAGTCATTGATATTCCCAGTGCCACCCACTTTTCCTCTGCACCAGGTAACTATCATTGTAGACTCATTTTAAGTCTCTTTCTACCTGTGTTTCTCTTATTCCTGACAACACTTCTGAGGAGAGGAATACCCCCACCCCAATTCTCAGGCAGAGATTTAAAGCGTGAAGCAAAGAAGCAGAGTGTGGGGGTGGTAGGAGGACTTTGAAAACATTTAGCTGTTTAAGCGTGGCGTTGATGTTTGTTTTGATACAGGAAATTAACTTAGTGTGTAGGTTTTGTCTCCTTGGGGTTATGCTAGTCTTTTTGTTAGTCTGCTCAGAATGCTGGATCAACGGATCAAAATGTCAGCTATTTCTCATAGTCCATGAGGTCTACTTGGCAGATTAGGTTTCTGGAGTCCCAGCAGGATATGAGCCCAACTAATTATGTACTATCAGTGTGATCCTTGATCTTGTGTACAATAGGAGCGGTACTTTCACAGTGTAGCTTAAGAGTTGAGGCTCCACATATTAAGATCCATGTCAGTATTTGTTTGCACAATTGGGTCTCAGTAAAAATCACTTTGAGAATAGCCCTGCCCCCCTTATTTTGACAAAATTTAAACTTAGAGAAAAGTTGTGATATTATAGATCACTGTCAATTTACCAGTTAACGTCCTACATTTGATGTATTTTCCTTTTCCTCTTCTAGCACTCTTAGTGGCAGATACTACACACAGCACCCTATGTACTTTGGCATTGAGTCATCTTTTTAGGACACTCTTCTAGAAAATCATAATGTTACAACCTAACAAAGTTGTTTTCTGATTTCCCATAGTTATCATTTCCATATGTAATAAATATTTAAACATTTGAGAGTCTTCCATTATGCTTGCCAGTCTTGTTTCTGTAACCTCAGTTTGTTTAGAAGACTTGCCCTATCATTTTTACTAGAATGTCATTAGGGTTTTTGAAGAATTCAGGTCTATTGTTTTGCACAATCCTTCAACTTAGATTATTCTGATTGACTCCTTGATGGAATTCACATTAATGACTGCAGGCTGGAGTGCTTTAGATGAATTGTTTGCTCTGTGTTTTATTTCTGTCTCTCTTCCTCTTCCCTTCCACCTAATGCTATCCTAGTATCCCAGCCCCATCTCCTAGTCTCTTCCTTCTCTTCCTTTCCTCCTTTTCCATTGCTTTTCCATAGCCATACATTCTTTTTCACTGTTCATTTCCGTCGCTATCCATGCTGATGCTCTTCTGCTTGTGGCTAGTGGGACCCTGGTGGATTGGTACCATTTCAATCAGGGTCAGCTCCTTCTGGTATTTGGCCCAGTTGCTGCACCCAAGTGACTCTCCTGTACTGGTTTTACAGCAGATCACTGAGCTGAAGAAGGAGAACTTCAACCTAAAACTCCGCATCTACTTCCTTGAGGAAAGGATGCAGCAGGAGTTTGCTGGCCCCACTGAGCACATCTACAAGACGGTGAGTAGCCAGGTTTTCCCCGGAGACATTTGACTGATATTTGTTCTTAGAGTTAGCATTAATGGCTGCTGTCATTCAATTTGGATTGATTTGGGGGAGCAAGATGATGCTAGAACAACCCTCAGAAAACTGAAGTTATGGTCTTAAGGAAGTTTTTTTTTTTTTGAGACAGGGTTTCTCTGTGGTTTTGGAGCCTGTCCTGGAACTAGCTCTTGTAGACCAGGCTGGTCTCGAACTCACCCAGATCCGCCTGCCTCTGCCTCCCAAGTGCTGGGATTAAAGGCGTGCGCCACCACCGCCTGGCTATAAGGAAGTTTTTAAATTGTTTTGTCATCAGATTTCTGATTCACAGTCTTGATCTCAGTTGTCTTTTCATAATTATTTATTATTTGGAAACAGGCAGTGGATCAGAAGATTAGCTTTGTAACTGAATGGTAGTGTTACCAACCAGTGGGGTGGGTGACTTTTAGCCAGTCACCCCTCTCTCTGGGCTTCCTTCTATAGGGAAGTGATAGCCACAGGGCTGTTTGGATGAAACCAGAGTAACTGGTGCAGTGGGGTGATGGGTGTAAATGGTATAGTAATAAGAGCTGCGGGGCTGCATCCCCAGCACCCGGCTGCCCACATGGCTAGCTTATGCTCCGAAATAACAACACACAAACTGTATTCATTTAAACACTGCTTGGCCCTTTAGCTCTAGCCCTTACAGGCTAATTCTGATATACCGATCAACCCATCTCTAATAATCTGTGAGCACCGGTCTTACCGGGAAGATTCCAGCCTACATCCATCCTGGGTCGGATCTTCATGGCGTGTGTCTGCCCGGGAGCGGGGCATGGCGTCTCTCTGAGGCGTCTGCTCCTGAGAGGAGAGCTGTGGAGTCTGAGCTCACTTACTGTTCCTCCCAGCATTCTGTTCTGTTTACTCCACCCACCTATGTTCTAAGCTATGAGGCCAAGCAGTTTGTTTATTAACCAATGAAATCAACAGGTTGATATGACACTCCCACATCAAAATGGGGTGACGGGTGCAGTGGGGTGACGGGAGCAGTGGGGTGACGGGTGCAGTGGGGTGACCTGTGCAGTGGGGTGACGGGTGCAGTGGGGTGACCTGTGCAGTGGGGTGACCTGTGCAGTGGGGTGACCGGTGCAGTGGGGTGACGGGTGCAGTGGGGTGACGGGTGCAGTGGGGTGACGGGTGCAGTGGGGTGACGGGAGCAGTGGGGTGACGGGTGCAGTGGGGTGACGGGTGCAGTGGGGTGACCTGTGCAGTGGGGTGACCTGTGCAGTGGGGTGACCGGTGCAGTGGGGTGACCGGTGCAGTGGGGTGACGGGAGCAGTGGGGTGACCTGTGCAGTGGGGTGACGGGTGCAGTGGGGTGACGGGAGCAGTGGGGTGACGGGAGCAGTGGGGTGACGGGAGCAGTGGGGTGACGGGTGCAGTGGGGTGACGGCTGCAGAGGGGTGACGGGTGCAGTGGGGTGACGGGAGCAGTGGGGTGACGGCTGCAGAGGGGTGACGGGTGCAGTGGGGTGACGGGAGCAGTGGGGTGACCTGTGCAGTGGGGTGACGGGAGCAGTGGGGTGACGGCTGCAGAGGGGTGACGGGTGCAGTGGACTGAAGGGCAAATGGCTCCAGCAAGCGGTCAGTGCTGAGCAGTCACCATCATTGGCTTGTAGACTTTGCTTACCCAAAGTTAGGTTGGTCAGATTTTCTGCACTTTGACTCCTGTAGCCCTGTGTGGTTGCTTAGAACTGTCAGGAAATGTCTTTTCCCATTTGAAGTCTTAACCTGCAGGTCTTTGTCTGCAAGCAAACTTTGTTTCTGAAAGTTGAAAGAAGAGTTTGACATTCTTCACATGAGTCCAAACAGTACACAGGTGCCTATTTCTTAGCTTTTGCTGGTAGATTAGCCCCTGGCCTAGGAATTACTTTGTCTTCTTGCTTCTGAAGTTTGTACTGGGGGAAACTTTTGAAAAGGGGAAAGGAGCTCCCAGCAGCAGGTGGGGTAGGAGTTGGGGGACTGCATAGGCTTTCCTGAAATCTGACTGCCTTTCTGAGCTCTTTCAGGAGCTGAAACGCTTCCTTTTCCCTGAAGCCACAGTTTCTTCCTACAGTGTCGGAGTAGAAAGACAAAGAGGACGGTCTTTTTCTGGATGCAGTGGTGATGCAATCAGAATTTCAAGGGGAACCAATAGTTAGAGCACACTGTGTATGGTGGTCAGGCCTCTCAAGACTTCAGGTGGCCGGCTGTCAAACTGCTGCCCACTGGGTTCACAGGTTCATTTTGCTGTGATTCTCAAGAAGTTGAGACAGTGGATATTATCCTAGTGTCCACTGAGGAAACAGGCCTGGGGAATGCCAGTCACTTGCCTACTGCCCTGAAGATATAGAGTGGATTTTGACCCTGACCTACCTGCCTCTGTGTATGACTTCTCCTTTTCACTGACTGAACGGCCTGCTCTTACGATCTTCCTCACTAAGCTTTTGTGTAGTGTGTGGTTCAGATTCTGAATTTTAAGGACATAAAGGATGTGTCCTAAAAAGACGTTCTAATCTGATCCCTGGGCCCTGTTTTTAACTAGTATTATCGATGTCCTGTGCAGTGGAGTAGTTTCATATAGAACATAAAGTTCTGTGTGACCCCTTTCGCGTAAGTACCAGCATGGTCTGTTCTGCATTTTGCAGTTTTCATTCAATGATTTCTTAGATGTCTTTCCCAACAGTAGTTTAAGAGCTCTTTTAGTCTTTCTTTTCTGACTTTATAATAGTCCATTTTGTGTTTTGAAGGCATTCTGACTCTTGGTTTGGAAATGGCTGTCATCTTACACAAACACTTAAAACTTGAGATACTGTGCGTGGGAGCATAGGCTTGCTAGCTAGCCATTGGGTCAGGCACAAGCCATGCTCTTAGAACACACTCTGTCAGCGCCCATACCTGCTCTGCCCTGTGGGAGCTGGTGGAGGAACCCAAGGCTTGTGGGGTGTTCCTGACAGAGGCACACATGGAGATATTGTGCCCCACCACTCTGGGTCTTATCTGTTATGCAAAGGGACAGTTGTTCTAGAGAGAAATTCTGCCTCATGGGCAGGCTTGCCTTCCAGTCTGACAGCGAAGGAGAAGTACAGGCTTCTTTCAGTGTGTATTTGGTTCTCCAGTCCTCCCGTCACAGTGGGCACCTTGGCCCTCTCTTGACAGTATGGGATCTGACAGTCACAGCTCTCCTTTCTCATCTTCTGGATGTGTCTCTAAGGACAGGCACAGGGTCACCCTGCTGGCTGCGTTATTCTCAGGGTCTGTCATGTTGACTTCAGCTACACCCGTCACTAGCACTCAGGTGTGTGTGAAGTGAATACATGAGTGTCCACAGTGAATGGGCTGTGTCCTTCAGTGTGGACTGCACTCTTGACTCTGCGTGCTCCTCTCCCCAGAGCCACTAGGCAGGAAGGAGGGAGAAATATCCTTTGGATTATAAATTTTATAAAAGTGTTATTATTTTAAAAATACAAACGTGGTAGAAGAAAATGTAAAATCCACATGCATTATTAAAAAAAAAGTGAGAATTCAGAGAAATCTTGATTTGCTATCACTCCTTTGCATGCCGTATGCTAGTCTCCAGGACATGACTGCTTTGTGCATGCTCTCTCGACTGCATTTGGGGCAAAGTGAGAAGCCTACCATGTCCCTGTTGCCTCCCACTGACTGCCACCTGCCATAAATTTTGTCTTTGTGTTCTCCTGTGAGTCAGTTGTGAGCCCAGGGCCATGTGTGACTTCCTTTGTTCTAGTCCCTTAAGGGAAAAAAGGTTAATGACTCTGTGATATCCCTTAGAGATGGCTTCCCACCTAAGCTGGGGCCTTTTGTGAGTGTCCTGAAATCTCACACTGAAATGTGACAGGTTATACTGAGGTCTCCCATTTATCCATTCACAAGTCTTATTTTATTTTCGTTAAGTCTGTAGCACGCTCCTACTGCAACAACCACATGAGTGATTGTAAACAGCTAGGAGTAATTGCCTTTGAATGGGAAAAGCAGACTGTAAATTTGCTTGGTGGAGGGCAAACAATTTTTACGTCAGCCCCGCTAATGTGACATTTGTGCCTAGGTGATTGAATGCTCTGGCTGTTAGACACTGGAACATTTACATCATTGTTCCAAGTCCTATGGAATCCAGGGCTTTCTCTTGAGACCCACAGTCCTTAATAATTCCCTTTTTCTGTGCTTCAGGGCTAATGAGGCTTTTGAGTGTAACATCTGCAATTGCAAGTGTAGCATAGTTAGTCCAAGCCAGAGTAGCTTGGCCACCATCAGCGCTTGCTATTCCTGTACCTTACACTGTGTCTTTTCTTACCTTTTTGCTCTGGAAGAACATTGAACTCAAGGTGGAAGTGGAAAGTCTGAAGCAGAAGCTCCAGGAGAGAGATCAGTTGCTCATCAGTGCCTCGTGAGTACCCGTCAACCAAGAGCTTGGCCGTCGGGTCCCACGGGTGGGTGTTGGGCTGGGCAGTGAAGCACAACCAGCTGCTTCTTTAAGCCACTTGTTTTCTGACTGGCATCTGACGCTCCTTGGAGCTTGTAGTTTTTATTAAATTGTTTGTCAACTGTTTTTAAAGTATTGTAGTTATAGGAAGATGTACAGGACTTAAGGGCAAAGTGTGATGGACTTGTATGAAGCAAAACACTATGTGAGACCCCCATCTGAGCCAGAAAGGAAGCTTCATCAAGCTTCCAGAAAGCCCCCTTGCCTTCATGTTCTCACAGCCTCTCCCTTTTCCCAGGACACGCACTGCTCTCAACATAATTACTTTGTTCTGCCTATTTTTGAACGTTATATAATTGGAATCATACAGTAGGTCCTTTTTGGGTCTAGCTTCCTTCCCCAGCCGTGTTTGTGAGAGTCAAGCCACCTGTGTTGTGTTTTGGGAGCTCATTCGTTCTCACTGATGAAAATGCCAAGGAGTAGAGGGGGTTCTAGTGGGTAAGGCTGGGAGGCAGAGGGATGGTTTCAGCTAGTAACTTGTTTTAAGCCTGTTTTGTGTCCTAGGGACTCTTGTAGTATGTTGTTTAAAGGAAATTGTTGGGTTTTAATGCTTAAAAGTTAGAAACCTACTATATCTATTAATAAGTAAATTTATTTGAATCTTTATTGAGTGTTGACCTGTAGACCGCCTGACTCCAGAATTACTAGCACCATACAATGAAGCTCTGCAGGGACACCACTCACAACCCAACCCCATAGCTGTAGGCTCCCCTGAGGCACACTATGAGCAACTAGGGTGTTCTAGAGGTGTGCTGGAGGCTTGTGGTGTGACAAGTGGAGACCCCAGAATGTGCCCAGAGTTTGCTCCAGAAGAGTGGGAGGTCTTCCCAGGTAGTCCACAAGGGCTCCTTGGACGTCTGTGTAGAAGTGCTTCTCTTGACATGACAGTGGAACTCCTGTTGGGTATGGAGCCCCGGGAACATGCTTGAGCACTCCAGGCTGGACCATCGCTGAGTCTGGTAGCTCCAAGTTGGCTGTTGTAGCTTATAGGCAGACCAGAGACTCCTAGGCACAGGCTCCTTTTCTGAGTGGCCCTGAATGAGTGAATAAATTAATAAATATACCGAGACTAAGATCTTCATTGTAGTTTTTTCTTTTGGAAGTGGCTCATTGTTTGGGCACTGAATCAAGTCTCTTGTACCAGATCCAAAATCAGTATGTGACTTGCTCTTCTTAATAGTCATCGCCTTACCCTAAACATCTTGGGTAGTACTTGTTTTTGGCAAAGTACATATACATTGGAATTTCTGCTCACAAGGGCTCATATATATTTCTCAATACTGTCACTCAGGAAGGGACACTTTGGGTACTTGCATGCATATTTGTATATTTTCCTAAATGCCAGGCTTTATATTCAAGGCCCTTCGTGATCTGACCAGTTTTTGTTAACTTATTTAGAAGATTCTTATCAAATGGCAGTTGTGTGTGCACTGTATGAGGCTCCTGGTGATACAGTGGTGATCCAAACAGCTACACGACACTTGCATTCTTCTGGGAATGATTATGATGAGATATTTACATTAGCAAATGTATGAATGCAGGTTGGGAGAAGAACTGTAAAGAGAAAGGGAGCCGTGAAAGTTTGTAGGTGTGGTAGCAGATATGTAGACAGCAAAATAGGAAAGGTACACCTGTGGAGATGACATTTGACATGCAGTATGAGGTGCCAGTAGAATTAGGCGGATGCGTAAATGGAGATGTGTCTAGGAAGAGACTGTGGCAAGTCTGAGGAAATAGGAGGAGAGTAGCGGCACTAGGCATTTTGGTCTTTGTTCTAAGGTTAGATAAGTAAGTGACACAGTACGGAGTTTGCTTTTCAGAAAGGCCATTCTGAATGTTGGGTGGAAGAGGTATTGTGAGGGTGCCAGGAGACCAGTGAGGAAACCAGCCGGGTGGGTGAGGTGAGCTGAGTGCTGACATGGATGGATGGCTAATGGGAAGAGCCTTAGGAAGCACAGTCCCGTTCTTGGTGATGGGTGAGAAGGGAGATGTTGCATGTATTAGTCATAGTTCTATTGCTGTGATAAAATAGCTTGACAGAAGTGATTTGGACAGAGAAAAGGTTTATTTTAGCTTATAGTTTCGGAGGGATAACATCCATCATGACAGGGAAAGCGTGGCAGAAGCAGGAAGCTGACTGATCACTTTTTTTTTTATCCACAAACAGGGAACAGGAGAATAAAAAGGGGGGGGGAGATTATTCCCAGTATACAAAACCTCAAAGCCCACCCCCAGTGGCATTCTTCCTTCAGCAAGGTACTATAACTTTCCCAAACAGTGTCATCAACCAGGGACCAAGTGTTTAAGTACAAGAAGAGCCTGTGTGGGGCATTTCTTATTCAAACCACCACACAAGGAGAGGCTCTTTGGGATTAAGGTCATGAGCTCTATTGATGGATGCTGACATTGACTTAACAATTTCAGCTTCCTCTCTACCACCTCTTTCTCACATCCCAGACGTTCCATAACTGTTCTTACTCTAGCTTCTGAACAGTTGCCTTCCCTTCCTTGCTTTCCCAGCCCAGTGCCTTCCCATCCTCTCCTTGTTCTAAAAGACTCAGACAGGGATCCTTGTAGCCTGCACTTGCCTCTTTCATAGACTTCTCCGTCATATGGTGTCCATCCTATGTGGGTATCTCTTTTCCGTGTCTAAACACTTTCGCGCCCAAACATATCATTATTCAAGGAAGACCCTCATTTTATAGAGGAGGGAATCAGGCCTTGTAAAGAGAAGGGCTGTGGCCTTAGAAAGGTCAGAACTTAGGTTAGACGTCAACTCTCACTTTTTTTTTTTAAATCTTTCATGTATTGACATAGTGTGTGCATGGTGTGTCTAAGTGGTCTTTCAGTGACTACCTCATATTTGCTGATGGCCCTTTCCCTTTTGCTCCTACTTCCCAGAGCCCAGCAGTTTGTCTATGGTAGATGTTGATGTTGTCTTGTTAGTTTAATTCTATCAGCTATTTTGAGTTGAGTTTTGGCTGGGGAAGGGGTAGAACATGGGCTCTGCCACAGGAAAAGGACAACTCTAATTTGAATGGAAATAATCTAGAGGAAATGTTGAAGGTTAAAAATAGTAACAAGGAAAATGTTTATGGAAGGTTCTTTCACACTGAGTGGAAAGCTGGTGTACAACTCTTGGTCTGATCCTCTTTCATAGGATCTCCAAGCCAGTTCTGTACTCTTTCATAGGATCTACAAGCCAGGTCTGATCCTCTTTCATAGGATCTCCAAGCCAGTTCTGTACTCTTTCATAGGATCTACAAGCCAGGTCTGTACTCTTTCATAGGATCTACAAGCCAGTTCTGTACTCTTTCATAGGATCTCCAAGCCAAGTCTGTACTCTTTCATAGGATCTACAAGCCAGGTCTGTACTCTTTCATAGGATCTACAAGCCAGGTCTGTACACTTTCATAGGATCTCCAAGCCAGTTCTGTACTCTTTCATAGGATCTACAAGCCAGGTCTGTACTCTTTCATAGGATCTCCAAGCCAGGTCTGTACTCTTTCATAGGATCTACAAGCCAGTTCTGTACTCTTTCATAGGATCTCCAAGCCAAGTCTGTACTCTTTCATAGGATCTCCAAGCCAGGTCTGTACTCTTTCATAGGATCTACAAGCCAGTTCTGTACTCTTTCATAGGATCTCCAAGCCAGTTCTGTACTCTTTCATAGGATCTACAAGCCAGGTCTGTACTCTTTCATAGGATCTCCAAGCCAGTTCTGTACTCTTTCATAGGATCTCCAAGCCAGTTCTGTACTCTTTCATAGGATCTACAAGCCAGATCTGTACTCTTTCATAGGATCTACAAGCCAGGTCTGTACTTGTAGCCCAGATTCTACAAGAGAAAAACAAAATGGCAGAGGGAGAGAATAAGCACTGGTTCCGATCCTCCTTTGTCCCAAACTTGTATGTCCTGTGCTTGGCGGTTGTGTGAGGCTGCCAGTCTACCCGTGTCAGTGAAGAGAAAGCTAAGATCCAGAAAATTGTAGCAAGTTGGCTCTGCTGTAGCTCCCGAGCCCACTCTGGCTTGATGTGAAGTAAACATATTTGTGTGCTGGTCTTCCATTGTTCTGTGTATAAATTACAATAAGGGGGCATTAAAAACAAAAGCAGTCATATTGTTGGGAGTAAATTTTATCTCTGTAGCTTTAAAACACAAACAAAAAATAATAATTCCATTAACAGAGGCAAATTGCACCATACTGCTGAGTATAAATTTTATTGCTACAGTAACTGTAAAATACAAAGATGATAAATGAAACGTTGGAACATTTATCTTTGTGAGTTTATTTTACTGGTATAACTAAAACACAAACAAAGTGAATAATGCTAGTAGTTGTTCAAAATTGTACAGCCTCTTGACAGCATATGTGATTCAGGCAGTGAAATGGCAAGATTAGATCTGGGCTGATGGAAGGGAGTCCAGAGTGCAGCAGAGGAAAGGGGCCATACAGGGCACTATACAGCTCCATGGCTAAAACATCCTGAGCACCCAGGTAGAAAGAATTCAGAACCAGAACCATCTGTGTAGGAGCTGGAGGGGTGCTAAGTGTTCTAAGTGTTTGTTGTGGAAGTATAGGGACCTGAGTTTGGATTCCCAGTGCCCATATCAAATGTGGGAAAGGTGTTTGTAACCTGGGGTGTGGTGGCAGGGGAGATGAGGATGATGTTTAAGGAGTTACAGGGTCAGTGATACACCTGTTTAAAAAAAAATAAGGATGAGAGCAATAGAAGACAGTGACACCCTTTGTCCTCCATACACATGTGTGCGAGCCACACATTGAGACATGCAGAAAAGGTAAAAATCTTTGTCTACAGCTTGGGAAAGAGAGGAGGCAGTGCACAGTTGTTCTTGTCTGTAATGCCCCTTGAGGAGTGATGGAAATGACTGTGAGTCACTGTGAACTGGAGACAGCCCTGGTCCCAGAAGTGAGCTGAGTGAGTGGGGGCTGAGGACACTTAGGGCAGTGATCAGGAAGGAAGCATGTTGGCCTAGGTTCTGGCAGGGGCTGATCTGTTCTGAGCTCAGACTCCAGCTGAGGGGTGGCAGGAGGCCTCTCAGCAGCACAGCAGGGTTTGTGCTGCCCTGGCCTCACAGGAGAGGCCTCCCAGCAGGGTGGGAGGGGGAACCTGCAGAGTACTGAGGCAGGCCTGCAGAGGACCCCTTGTGGTAGCCCATTAGTTCCAAGAGGTAATCATCTCATTTCCCTCATGAGGAGACTGAGGTGTAACAACTTATTTACTGAGGCTAGAAATTTTACCCAGAGCCACACTGGGGTTGGGATAGAGTGAGAATTTAGAAGCAAATCTGTCCAGCCCGAGCCGGTGTTCCTCCTTTCAGTTATTCACACTGGATTCTATTATTGTGATATTGTGGTGGCTTTCTGAAGCCTTGCTGAAAGGAAAACTCTTCAATAAGGGCTCTGTTTGCAGGTGATTTCTGTGGGAGCTTGGACAGCCAGGAGAGCCCTTTAGGTGCCCTGTTCTGGTGAATGGTTCACGTGGTCCAGTGTGTGAGCATCTGGTTACAGGGCTTTGGGTTAGGGAAATTAATATACTCCTGGAGTCAAGTGAGGTACAGAGTGGCAAGGAGTTTTGTTTAATTCTTCTGCTGTTGTTTTTCTGAGAAGCCAGCTTTAGGTGGAGCCATTTCCTCAGTTTTCCTTCTGGAGACTGCAGCCATTGAGGATGCAGGGAGGACAGAAGTCTCACAGCTGCAGCCAGCACCTCTCTTTCTGCATCACTGCTCATGGCCCTGTGTCTGGTTTAGTGTCTCCCACAGAGAGAACATTCTAAGGCCACAGCCCAGTGCCCTGGACATTTAATATCACAATACCAGGTGCAGGGTGCTTGCACCCAAGTCCCTCTCTCACCCTAAGTCGTAGTGTGTGCTGGATCCATTTTGGTGTACTTAAAACGTTTGCCCTCAGGCTGGTGCAAGGTGGAGCATGCAAATGCTAACCTCACAGATCTGCTTGTTGCATGCTGCTTCTTTGCCCAATGGTTCCTGTACCACCTTCTATACCTCTGGTGTAAGAGTACTAGCAGGAAAATTGGCAGCTGCCATCAAGAATATTAAAGTGTGCTTACCCTTGGGCTCAGGGATTCCCCTTCTAGTAGTGTGTCCCTAGAAACCATTAAGTCACAACACTAATGTGTAGTGAGCAGTTTCTCGGTACCAGGCACCTCTTCTTAGATCTTGGTGTTAGTCACATGTGTTCATCAGAAGCAGCTTAGAGACTTGACTTCATAAAGTATGTTCCGTATAGTGATACAGTCGTTAGGATGATGATGCAGATTCATGTTTACTGACTTTCTAAAGCGTGTTCTCAGCATAGTGAGTGATTCACTGTCCAGGTTAGTTCACTAGTATACACTACATGGTTCTGTGTGAGTAGGTAGAGCCCTGACAGGCTGTGTGTTAAAATGTTAATTCTATCCTGTGGGATAAGTACCCCCCACCCCGTTTCTGAATTATAAGTGTTATTATTTTTTTTTTAAAGGAAACTTAGCTCAGGCAAATGGGAGGAATGACTGACAAATACCCCTTATCTTTTGGGGCTGGGGAAATTGTCATCAGACAGGCCCCCGACTCAGCCTGCCCTTTGCCTCTCTGCAGCAAAGCAGTGGAGAGTCTCACCAAAGGGGGAGGTTCTGAAGTCCAGCGCGTGAAAGAAGATGCGAGGAGGAAGGTGCAGCAGGTTGAAGACCTCCTGACGGAAAGGATACATCTTCTAGAAGAAGTAAGTCTGGAGATGCTGTGGTCAGGCCTGGGGAGTGTGTGATGGCCTCCTTTCTCCATGAGCATCACCTTACTGCAGCAGTTACTGGGTGTCCTTTGGGTCTGGCCTCATGTAGGCACTCTGCCCCTGTAATTTACCTCGTTGTCTCCTTCCTGTGAGGACCCTGAGGTACAGAGAGAAGTACTAACTGGCCCAGGTGGTTGCTGAGCCCCACTGAAGGAGTGTAGCCCTGAGGAAGACCACACTCAGATTGCTGCTGCTCGGCTATTGCCTGCCCGCCCGGCTCTTGTCCTCTCGCCAGCCTCTGTCCAGGATCTTGGAGAACTGAGTGGCTGCTCTTTTCTAGTGGACACCACAGCTTCCTGTGCTCTTCCTTCTGTCAGCAGCTGCTGTGACCCGGCTAAACATCTGCCTCTGGTTGGGACAATAGACAGTGTTCCTCTATTTTAAGCTAGCATTAAGAACCACAGTTTGAGTAGCCCTTTCCTGAAGTGCTTGGATCCAGAAGTAGTTTAGGTTTGAGTTTATTATTCTTACTATTATTCTTATTGAACATTTTTATATAACTAATGAGATATCTTAGGGTTGGGCTCCAAGACTAGACACAGAATTCACTTATATTTTACGTATGCATTATATATGTAATTAGGGAATTTTGGGCAATATTTTAACATGGCTGTGTTTGACTACAACCCATCACATGAGGTCAGGTTTTAAATTTTCTATTTTTGACATGTTGATAATCAGAAAGTTTTGTATTTCGAGCCTTTCAGAATTTAGATTGGGCTGATCTATATATTAATAATTATTATGATATTTATTTATTTATTTTTGAGGCAGGATCTGGTAGGTAGAGAGTTTGCTCTCAGACTTGCAATCCTCCTGTTTCAGCTTCTCAAATACTGTAATTATAAGCACATACTACTGTCTAAGCATTTCTTTTGCTGTGAAAGACACCATGACCACAACAAACTTTTTTTTTTTTTTTTTGAAACAGGGTTTCTTTGTAGCTTTGGAGGCCGTCCTGGAACTAGCTCTTGTAGATCAAGCTGGCCTCAAACTCACAGAGATCCTTCTGCCTCTGCCTCTGCCCCTGCCTCCCCAGTGCTGGGATTAAAGGCATGCACCACTACTACCCGGCTTGACCACAAAATTTTTTATAAAGGAAAACATTCAATTGGGACTGGTTTACAGTTTAGAGGTTCAGTCCATTATCATCATAGCAGGAAGCATGGAAGAGTGAAAGCGGACATGGTGCTGGAGAGGTAGTTGAGGGCTATATATCTGGAAAGGCAGGTAGAGAGAGATTCTGGGCCTGGCTTGAACATTTGAAACCCCAAAGCCCACCCCCAGTAACAGGCTTCTTCTAGTGCCACCACACCAAATCCTACAAAGCCTTATTTCCCAATAGTGCCTTTCCCTATTTACCAAGCATTTAGATCTGTAAATGTATAGTATTGGGGTTTTAGGGGTGGGGCGCTCGTATTCAAGTCATCACAACCACCACCCACCACACCCTTAATCAAGACACTTGAGAAAGTTGTCACCTCTTGATGCAGCACTTTGTTTGTCCCATGAGTACTTCCCAGTGCTCCTGCTTTGTAGCTTGCTGCATTTATCCCATTGGGTGAAGCATTTGCCCTTGTGAATTGAACACAGAAGCACCAGCTTGTCGCACTGGCTGCAGTAACAAGAACACATACTAAGCTATGAGACCTCCCCACAGATAGAGTTCTCCTGCTAAGCCTCACGTGTGTGCTTAGCTATCCTTCTAAGAAACCTATGTGCTAACTACTTCCATTTCTCCCTCTCTCTCTTTTTCTCTTTTTTAAACGTATTGAAATATTAGGCACAAGGTGACCAGGTCATTTGCTGAAGGTCACACAGGTGGTAAAGGTCAGGTGATCTGGCCACATTTTAGGCTCTAACATTCTGTTGTCTCGGTCCACAACACTTAGGGTTAGGTCAAGATCAAATGTGATATAAGACTTCTTGCTTCAGAGCCTGGCATTTAGTAGACACTCAGCAAACAACAGGCATTGTTGTTTGCTGCCTAAGAAATATGGAGCGACAGACAAGCCTCTTAAACAGATAGTTAGTGGAAAGGGTGGGGAAGAGAGGCCAGGCTTTTGCTTCTGGGTGCCAGGTGTTGGCAGTCTCCCAGCAGCTCGTTGATGGAATGTTGGGTTTCTTGTCTTCTGGAATAAGAACCGGGTCACACAGCAAGTATCATAGGAGAGCTGCACTTTGAACCCACGTCTATTTGACTTTTATGTTTGCGGTGTGATCTTGAGGCAGTGGTCTGTGTGGGTGGAGAGTCAGGCCTGTTCCAGATCACTTGCGTGCGCACCAGAGCCTTCCCCCAACAGACACATGGTCTAAATGATTTAGAAGATAATTTCCATGGTGGCTTCTCTGAGCACTCAGGAAAAGCATAGAGCTCTTCACCACTTAAATCACCTTGGAGATACAGAAATGCATTTTAGAAATGTGTAGCCATTATCTTAAAAAGAAATAGTGGGGGGCGGTGGGCTGTGGGATGAATTTGCATGGAGATTAGGGCGACTCTGGGACTTATGCATGTTTTAGTATTGAGAAGCGCATTTCTTCTTGTTCTCATTGAAGTTGTAAATATTGATCTGATTTTTCAAAACCAAAAGTACAGTTCTTGTAGAGCTGACTCTTTTCCATTGGAAGTGCCCATTACTCTTCCAATACAAGAGGGAAAAATGGTTTGCAAATATATTTATTACGTATTCTTTCCATGTATAGTACATTCAGGGAGGGGAAATGTGCCGGAGAAAAAGTCATAAATATTTATATTTTAATCCAATTTTCTTTCAAAATGTTCCCAATTGTATTGAAAAATTGCATCAAATGCATTTAATTTAACTGTAGGATGTGAAAGCGGCCCAAGCAGAACTGGAGAAGGCCTTTGCAGAGACGGAAACAGAGAAGGCATTTCGCCTCAGCTTGGAAAGCAAGCTCTCTGAGATGAAGAAGATGCAGGGGCAGGACCTGGAGTTGACTCTGGCTCTGGAAGACAAGGACAGGTTTGGATCTGCTCCCTGGGAAGCTCAGGTCTCATCATCTGGAGAGGGAGAAAACCTAGCCTTTCTCTCCCTCCTATCTGTCATTGTTCTTCTCTAGAGTGGACTACCTTCCTGGAGTGCAGTTAACACAGCAAGATAGAAGACTGGGCATGAGAGAAACAGGAACAAGATAGTAGTGGGCGAGAGGTGGTCACTAGACAAGTTCATGTTAGAAAGGGGTGCTGAGACCCTAAGTCTAGTGTTTAGCTTGGCTGCAGCTTCCTGGTAGACAAAAGGAAAAGTATCCCTATGGGCCTGAGGTTTGTATTACCCATGAGGTAAAACAAGCCTGGATTCAGGAGAAAGCCAGTTTTGCTTGGCCCTAGCAGAGGTAAAGTGCACTGGTGGTTCTTTCCACAAGGAGCAGTAAGTGGTGATGTCCCCACAATGAGTGCTAGTGAATTTTGTGTTATCCGTTTCCCATCATGGATTTTAATGTTGGCTACAGGCTGAAATTAAGCAGCGTTATAGAACAAAGAGCATTGTAGATCAAATACAGAGTTCTTCAGTGCGTTGAGAATAAAATGTGTGTTGTTGTGTCAGGGAAATGGATGGGCAGTAGGGCTGTTAGGCCCACTCTAATGACCAGTGTATCCTGTAGCCAAACTTTTGACAAAACCTGTGAAGAAGAAGTTGAAATTTCCTTCTGCAACTTCGTTTTCAGTTTGGGCTTAGGAAATCAGCAGAGCACATCTTCTGGGATTCTCTCTTTCAGAGGACTGAGTCAGTATTGAGGGAGCCTGTGGTCTTGGTTTCCATATTTCAGTACCCTCTTACTTCAGGTATTTTTTAATTTTATATTTGGTGTATGTGTGCATAAATGCATGAAGGTCAGAAGTTGGCCCCCTTTTCTTACTTTTGATCTGTGAAATAGAAGTGTTGTATCTGGACCTTGGTGCAGAAAATGAGTTATTAGCCCCATCTATCCCTTTGCGATTCATTTTTTCTTGACCATGTTTTTTTATTAATTAATTAATTTATTAAAGATTTCTGTCTCTTCCCCGCCACCGCCTCCCATTTCCCTCCCTCTCCCCCAATCAAGTCCCCCTCCCTCTTCAGCTCAAAGAGCAATCAGGGTTCCCTGCCCTGTGGGAAGTCCAAGAACCACCCACCTCCATCCAGGTCTTGACCATGTTTTCAGGAAGAGAAGGTGTTCCTTTTGCTGACTTCTCTGCTAGGTAGCATTCATGAACAGTGAAGAAGTATCACATCTAGAAATTCTATGTAAGTCATTGTTTTATTTCATGATCCTTTTCCCTTTTGATTGGCAGGAAGTCCTTAGAAGGCCTATGGGCTTGTCTTTCTTGGAGAACTAAGAAAGCTAAATTGGGGTTAAGGATCCCAAGGAATGAATTAGACTACAGTAGAATGTCTGAGTAGCCATAGGGGGAGAAAGGAGAATTCTTAGTAGTGGTGACTAGGAACAAAGGAGGAAATAAAAAGTCTTTGTAAAGGAGACCTGCCTTGCTAAAACCCAAGCTTATCTAGTTGGCTAGGTGGATAGAGTGGAGGCAGGAAGAGAAGGATCAGGATTGGATGGGGCAAACAGTGGTTTCTCGTTAATGTTTACAAATTCAGTGTGAATGTTCCAATAGAAGCCTCTCATGTTAAGTAGGCATTCTTGAACTGAGACAATCCTGACTGTATTCAGCCTTCACTTGGTGTGCACCTTCACCAATACTTACATATCTGTGTTTGAGTTTAAGTGATAAATTAGACAGAGTGAGATTTAAAAAGCAGCCAGTTGTGGTACTAGTTAGTATGACTGTGATCTATTCCATAAAAATACTTTACTGTGTTGTCCGAGGTTTTATATCCTGCCCAGTTCCCGCATTCTTTAAGTCCCACAGAAATCACACAGAGATCTACAGTAACTATAAACTGATTGGCCAATTAGCTCAGGCTTTTTATTATCTCTCATAATTTACATTATCCCATTATTCTTATTTGTGTTAGCCACCTGGCTCAGTACCTTTTTCAGCCAGGCAGTCACACCTTGCTTCCTCTGTCCCTAGTCACAATTGTGGAGGATTGGGCTTCCTACTTCCCAGAATTCTCCATTTCTCATTGACCTGCCTCTACTCAATGCCATCCCACTAAACTCAGGAACATGACAAGGCTGTCCACTCTCGCCATACCTCTTCAATATAGTGCTTGAAGTTCTAGCAATAGCAATAAGACAACATAATGGGATCAAGGGGATTCGAATTGGAAAGGAAGAAGTTAAACTTTCATTATTTGCAGATGATATGATAGTGTACATAAGTGACCCCAAAAACTCCACCAAAGAACTCCTACAGCTGATAAACACCTTTAGTAATGTGGCAGGATACAAGATCAACTCCAAAAAATCAGTCGTCCTCTTATACACAAAGGATATGGAAGCAGAGAGGGAAATCAGAGAAGCTTCACTTTTCATGATAGCCATAAACAGCATAAAATATCTTGGGGTAACTCTAACCAAGGAAGTGAAAGATCTATTTTACAAGAACTTTAAGGCATTGAAGAAAGAAATTAGAGAGGATACCAGAAAATGGAAGGACCTCCCTTGCTCTTGGATTGGGAGGATCAACATAGTAAAAATGGCAGTTCTACCAAAGGCAATTTATAGATTCAATGCAATCTCCATCAAGGTCCCATCAAAATTCTACACAGATCTTGAGAGGACAATAATCAACTTTATATGGAAAAACAAAAACCCCAGGATAGCAAAAACAATCCTATACAATAAAGGATCTTCTGGAGGCATTACCATCACTGATTTCAAACCCTATTACAGAGCTACAGTAGTGAAAACAGTGTGGAACTGGCATAAAAAACAGAGAAGTCGACCAATGGAATTGTATAGAAGACCCGGATTTTAACCCACAAACCTATGAACACCTCATTTTCGATAAAGGAGCTAAAAGTATACAATGGAAGAAAGAAAGCATCTTCAACAAATGGTGCTGGCACAACTGGATTTCAACCTGTAGAAGAATGAAAATAGATCCATATCTATCACCATGCACAATACTCAAGTCCAAATGGATTAAAGACCTCAATATCAGTTCGAACACACTGAACCTGATAGAAGAGAAAGTGGGAAGTACCCTACAACAGATGGGCACAGGAGATCGCTTCCTATGTATAACCCCAGCAGCACAGACATTAAGGGCAACATTGAATAAATGGGACCTACTAAAACTGAGAAGCTTCTGTAAAGCAAAGGACACTGTCTCTAAGACAAAAAGGCAACCTACTGACTGGGAGAAGATCTTCACCAACCCCGCAACAGACAAAGGTCTGATCTCCAAAATATATAGAGAACTCAAGAAACTAGACTTTAAAATGCTAATTAACCCAATTAAAAAATGGGGCACTGAACTGAACAGAGAATTCTCAACAGAAGAAGTTCAAATGGCCAAAAGACACCTAAGGTCATGCTCAACCTCCTTAGCGATCAGGGAAATGCAAATCAAAACAACTTTGAGATATCATCTTACACCTGTCAGAATGGCTAAAATCAAAAACACCAATGATAGCCTTTGCTGGAGAGGCTGTGGAGGAAGGGGTACCCTCATCCATTGCTGGTGGGAATGCAAACTTGTGCAACCACTTTGGAAATCAGTGTTTCGGTTTCTCAGGAAATTCGGGATCAACCTACCCCTGGACCCAGCAATACCACTCTTGGGAATATACCCAAGAGATGCCCTATAATATGACAAAAGCATTTGTTCAACTATGTTCATAGCAGTATTATTTGTAATAGCCAGCACCTGGAAACAACCTAGATGCCCTTCAATGGAAGAATGGATGAAGAAAGTGTGGAATATATACACTTTAGAGTACTATGCTGTGGTAAAAAACAATGACTTCTTGAATTTTGCATGCAAATGGATGGAAATAGAAAACACTATCCTGAGTGAGGTAACCCAGACCCAAAAAGGTGAACATGGGATGTACTCACTCATAATTAGTTTCTAGCCATAAATAAGGGTCACGGAGTCTACAATTGGTGAACCTAAAGAAGCTAAATAAGAAGGTGAACCCAAGGAAAAACATAGTTATCCTCTTGGCTATGGGAAGTAGACAAAATTTCCGTGGAGAAAATTGGGATCTTGGTGGTGGGGTGGGATGGGGGTAAGAGAAGATCGGGAGAGAAAAGTGAGAAGGGGAGGATGGGGGGAACTTGGGGAAATAGGATGATTGGGATATAGGAAGGTTGGCCAGGGGAGCACTTAAGCACAATTCGTAGTCAAGGGAGCCACCTTAGTGTTGGCAAGAGACTTGAGCCTAGAGTGGCTCCCAGGAGCCCAAGGCGATGTCCCCAGTTAGTTCCTTCGGCAGCTGAGGATAGGGAACCTGAAATGACCCTATGCTATAACAATACTGATGAATATCTTGCATAACATCATAGAACCTTCATCTGGTGATGGATGGAGATAGAGACAGAGACCCACACTGGAGCACTGGACTGAGCTCCCAAGGTCCCAATGAGGAGCGGAAGGAGGGAGAAGATGAGCAAGGAAGTCAGGACCACGAGGGGTGCACCCACCCACTGAGACAGTGGGGCTGATCTATTGGGAGCTCACCAAGGCCAGCTGGACTGTGACTGAAAAAGCATGGGATAAAACCGGACTCTCTGAATATGGCGAACAATGAGGGCTGATGAGAAGCCAAGGACAATGGCAGGGGGTTTTGTTCCTACTTCATGTTCTGGCTTTGTGGGAGCCTAGCCAGTTTGGATGCTCCCCTTCCTAGACATGGACGGAGCGGACAGGACCTTGGACTTTCCACAGGGCAGGGAACCCTGACTGCTCTTTGGACTGGAGAGGGAGGGGGAGAGGAGTGGGGGGGAGGGGGAGAAGGGTGGGAGGAGGGGGAGGGAAATGGGAGGCTGGGAGGAGGCTGAAACTTTTTTTTCTTTTCTCAGTAAAAAAAAAAGAATTAAGGGGGGAGCTTGGGGAACCTACATGATT